TGGGTGAAGCGGAAGTTCCGGGGGGTGGCGGAGAGTAGCGAGCGGTTGAACGAGGTGCATGTGGGGGAGGCGTTTGTGGCGGGGCTATCAGTGTGGCTCAAGTACTGGGAGCAGTGGGGGGAGAACCGGCCCAAGTGGCAGGGCGAGGAGGAGGACGATAACGACGACGACCCAGCAGCAGCGGGTGGCGGCGGTGGTGGTGGTGGTGCTGCCGGTGGTGGCCCTGGTGGTGGGAGTCTAGGGGGCACGTCTCCTGTGCGATTCAATGACTCTGCGACTAGTTCCCCCTGGAGAGACCTTCCCAACAGCTCCAATAGCTCGCCCTGGCGCGGGGATAGAGATGAGGGGGGGGACGGCAGAGGCAGATACGCGCACAGTGACCTGGGAGGGGGAGGTTATGCGGGGAGCACGGGAGGCGGAGGAGGAGGAGGAGGGGCGTATGGCAGTGGGAGGCGACCTAGTAGCGTGTCTGCGGGGCTGTCAGGCGCAGGAGGGGACGTGCATACGTACGGGCCGAAGCGCTGGGGCCCAGAAGGTAGCCTGCAGTCTCGCCTCGTTGCCGAGGCGCTCGGAACAGGACAAGCGCTGCCGACCACGTGCCAGCACGACGATCTTCTCCGGGTGGCAGGGCTGGCAGCGGCAATCAGCAGCTGGCAGCCTTCCACTGCATGCATGTGCCTGCTGCGCCTACTCGACCGCATGGCCCAGTTCGAGCTACTCTCCCTCGGGATTACCGTGTCGCCTCACCGCGACGCCGCTGCTGTTGCAGCCGCCACGGCTGCGGCTTCAGGGATTCACGGGTCGGTGAGAGGAGGAGGGGCGCTGGGGCCGTCTGCTCGGCACCACCTGGCGGGCATTGGCAATGAGGGGAGTATGCCGTCGTCTCCGGCTGGGTCGCGCCGGCGGTCGGAGAGTTTTACAATGGGTGGTGGGGGGTTGGCGGAGCAGAGCGGGCCTATTCCCACGTCGTTCAGCGGGCTGGGGTCTGCTTTTGGTGCCGCGCCAGCATCGGCGGCGCCGGCACAGCAGCAGGCGGCAGCGGCTGCACAGGAGGCATCAGCAGCAGCAGCAGGAGGAAGAGGAGGAGCGGCAGCGGCGGTGGCGGCACCAGCACCGCCACAGAAGAAGTCCGGGGGCGGGTTGCTTGCCTTCACTGCGAATTTCACCCGCCCGACCACTCCTTTCTTTGGCATGGGGTCCTCCTCTGCTGCCTCCCATCCCGCCCCCCCGCCTCCTGAACCCACTCCGCCGCCCGCCCCGCCGTCCAATGTGAGCTCGCCACCTGTCTCGGACCTGTCAGGATGGCCGCCTATCGCTGTGGGGTCCATGGGGATGGCAGGGATGGGGGGGCTGGTGAGGGCTCCGGCAAACCTCCCTGCGTGCCGAGCGTTCGTATTGGCGTGCCTGAAGGCCATTCTCTCGTCCCAGTACGAGAAATCCGGAGGCGCAGCGGCCGCCAGCCGGAGAGCCATGTCCGCAGCAGCAGCGGCAGCAGCAGCCGGTGGAGGAGCGGGAGGCGGAGCACTGTCCGGCGCGGATGGAGCTCTGCTGTCCGTGCGGTCAGCAGGGCGGAAACCCTGGTGCCCCATCCGCCTGTCAAGCCTGGCGGAGGTGGCTCTAGCAGAGGGAATCGCCCGTGCGAAGCACAGCGATTTGGTGGAGCGGTGTGAGGAGATCGACCGGCTGTATGATTCCCTGGGGCTGGGTCCTGGCCTACTGGCCATGAACCTAGCTGCAGAGATGCGAGAACTGCATTTCCTGCAGCCGGGGGATTTGATTTCCCTCGCTCTGCACTACGAGCATATCGGGCTAGAGGAGGCGGCTTTCCACGTGTGCCTGCGGGCTGTGGCGTCAGGAAGGCTCACGACAGACGGGTTTGACCATGTTATCCGAATGGTGTTTCTGGGCAGCGGGGCGGAGTCGATCAACGCGCGCTTCGCACGGCTGGCAACGGCTGTCAAGAACGCGCACATCGCGAACGTTGAGGCCACGGGAGCGGCAGCAGCAGGCATGCGCGCATCTTCCTACATCGCAGAGTTTGCAGATGCGATGCTGAGGAACGGAGAGCTGAAGCAGCACCACCCGTGGGCGTACGAGGTCACGCTCAACTTCCTCCGCATGAACACGCGCGGCGGGGGCCTGGGCGGGGGCGCCGGCATCGGAGGCATGGCGGCGGCGGGCGCCGGGGACTGGCGGGAGCGGGAGCTCTGTGCCCTAGTGACTCTGAACCGCTGGCTGGGGCTGACCGCCGCAGGGGGCGTGGCGGGAGGTCTGGCTGGAGGGGAGAAGTCTCTGGAAGCTGCACAGGACAGGGCGGTGGAGATAGTGGAGCAGATGGCTCAGCCGGAGGTGACGGTGGGGTGGGCAGTGTGGTTAAGGATAGGCAAGACGGTGGAGACGGAGCATAACCTGCCCGTGCTGCTGGAGTCCATGCAAGTCAAGTCCATCATGCACGTCTATGAGGTGCCGCGCCTGGGCGGTGTGGGTGTGGTGGGGTGGATTGGGGTGGGGATGGGGTGGGGTGGGGTAGGGTGGGGTGTGATGGGCTATGCGAGCTTGTACCCTGAATACAAATCCACAGCACGCCTCTCACAAGCACCATCCTTCTGTGTGTCTCCCTCTCCCTCCCTCCACCCCCCTTTCCCCCCCCTCCCCTTCTCCCGTCCTCCCATCTCTTCTTCCCCACCCTCCCCCCCCCCCCCGCCCGTCCTTCCCCTCTCAGAGCATAGAGGAGGACGGCACGTGTCAGGACGCGCAGCAGCTAGAGGTATTCGACTGGGGGCTGCGGGGCATCCTAGTGGGCCTACCAGACAAGGACCCGGCAGCAGCGCTGCTAGAAGTGATCTACCCGCTGGAGGAGGAGAAGGCGGACCTCACGCTCGCCATGGCTGCGCGCCTGGCGGCCACGTCGTCCCCTGTGGACAGCCGCATGTGGCCGCTTGCCAATACCACGTCGTTTGTCGCCCACCTGCTCGTGCTCACTGATGGATGTGCGTGGATGGGCGAGGGAGAGCAGGAAGAGGGGAGAGGGGGGGATGAAGGAGGAAGGGGAATGAGGGAGGGAGGAAATTATGGGGGATGGGGTTGGGAGGGAGGGAGGGAGGGAGGGGGGAAGTGGGGGATGGAGGGAGGGAGGGAGAAGGCGAGTGAGGGAGGGATTGGGGGAGGGATTGTGTTGCTGTTGGACAGTCTTGTTTGGGAGAGCAGTGGGTTGAGCCCAGTGTAAGTGGTGTGTCGAGTGTCCTGCCGCCTGCTCAGGTGGCTCGAATATTGTCTGAGTGTGGGTGGTGTCGCGTGGTCTACAGTGAGAGGTGGTAAATTTCAAGCTGTGGGCTTGGATGATTGTTGATGATTCTCATATACTAACCTCGTCCTGCACTCCTCCTCTCCCCCATCCCTCCCCCCGCGCCGCACCACATGCTCGGGTGCTGTGGGAGCAGGGGTGTTGGACCCTCGGCAGATGTCGCGGGCAGTGAACGTGGCGACGAGGCTGTGGGGGTGGGCCATGCCCAAGCGCTCCCAGCTCATGGAGCAATGCGAGGTGCGTGCGCTGGGGATGACGGGCTGGGGATGGGAGCCGTCAGTATGAGCGGGTGGGATGGGAGCGTGGGGATGGGTGTTGTCGGCTTGAGCATGTGGAATGGGGGCGTGGGGAGGATGTGGGGCCTTGACTTGTCTGTCCTTTTAACCTTGGTGCCGTGTCTCCCCTGGCTGTCTCCTCCCACGCGCCCCCTCATGCTCCATGTCCCATTCTCCATTCCCTGTGCCCCCCCAACCTGGCATCATGCTGTTGCAGACTGCGGACGAGGCAAGGGAGGTGATGGAGCGCAGTGCCGCTTCCATCTGGCGCTCAGTCGCTGCCTCAGGTGTGACGCCCTTCCTCCACACCCACACCCATACCTACAGCCACACCCACGCCCACGCCCACGCCCACGCCCACGCCCACGCCCACGCCCACGCCCATGCCCGTTCCCATGCCCGTGCCCATGCCCATACTCACGCCCTCCCTTCTGTCCCTCTCCTTCCGCCGTTCCGTCACTCTCTTTCCAAGCACTCCCTGCCCTGCCTCATACGCACGCTCTTGCACTCTTGCATCCATGTCCTTACACTTCCCTCTACCCTCCCCCATGTTGCCATGATGAATCTTGCCCTCTCTCCCTCTCAACCCTGCAGGGGCACAGCCAGGAGCGTCCTAGTGTGCTTACAAGAGCACCCACACCAGCTCTTGACCAGTCTCCTCTACGTCAGTTCAGTCCAGTGTCCACTCGAGTGCGGTCAAATAGTGACAGAGCCATTAGGTCTGCTTGTACTGTCAAGGAAAGCTCAAAATCGCTTAGAGGGGTGATCGGTTGTGCTTGTGCTCCTGTGCTCGTGTGCTCTACAGCTGAAATGATGTACGTACCTAGTATCTATGCAGGTTGTAGATGCGAGCAGTGCTTTGGAGGGTTGTAACTCTGTTGTAACAGTTTGCTGTATTTAATGAGGTCCAAGCTTCTTAAGAACGAAACTGATGAGCCTACATGGCTGGCAGTTAGGCCAGGCCCCATATTGGTTTCAGGTTGGCAGGCTGAACTGTGGTACGTGTACGTACCCAACCCATCCCCTGGTACAGTACTAAAAGGTGGATCTGCCTAGCGGCTGGGTACGAGGCCTGCCACGTCCATTTGCACCAAGTGCACTGCATTGCTTAAAATAATCATTCATCAGGTACTGGCCAGTATGCCTCGGATTACTGTAGGGTGTTAAAACAAAAGTTGCCTTCACTATCAAAAGAAGCAACAAAATAGCCTAGGATGCTGCTCGCAACCTGATTTAGCAGCTTTATTCCATGCTACGCTAGCTGGGCGGGGCACTTATGCATCTGAGATAGATGTGCTTCGGCTGTGCCCGCCTCAAGACCCCTCGTCTCGTCCCATTTACCAGTATGCACCCGCTAATCAACTTGGGTTGGGTGGCTGTGAGACTCAAGCATTATTGCTGCCGTGTCTATGCTTCCTGTGTCAAAGCGTGACCCTCCCACACGCTGCCAGGCACGCCTTGACATTCGCGTCGCCCTGTGCCCCCTTGCAGCACGCAGCGCACTGCGCTGCCACCTCGCCTGCTCCCTCCTCCGGCACGCACACTGCCATGCCACACCGCACCATGCCATGCCATAGTGTTTGTGGGGAGCCAGGGGTGGGATAGAACAGAGTCAAGGACAAGTGATAAGGCCAAGGACAGGGAGAAGTCATGCGCCATGGGAACTGGGAGGGACGGTTAATACGATGGGATGGGAACCAATGGAGCACATGGGAGGGATGGAAGCGAGTCGTTGACACGAGGGGACGTATGGAAGGATCATCAGTCAAGTTCAGAAGCCCGGCGGATTGGGGGAAAAAGGGAACAGGGAGCTCACTCTTGCATCCCTTGATGCGGCGGCAGTTGGAGAACTGGCCCTTGTTGCACGCACAGCGCTGGCACATGTCGCCCGCCTTGATCGCGCCTGACGCCACTCCGCTGCTGTAGAAAATGGGGCCCCACCCGTGCCCCGCCGACACGCACTGCCCCGCGGACACTGGCGCACGGGGAGGGGACGGGAGAAGAAGGAGGAGGGGGGGGTTGGGTTGGAATGGAATGGGAGTGCGGATGATACGGGAGTTGGGATAGTTCCGTAAGGTGGCACAGTAAGGTGGAGAAGTTACGAGGGAGAGGGAGAGGGAGAGAGCGAGGGAGAGAGGGAGAGAGAGAGAGAGAGAGAGAGAGGGAGAGAGAGAGAGAGAGAGAGAGAGAGAGAGAGAGAGAGAGAGAGAGAGAGAGAGAGAGAGAGAGGAGGGGGGAGGGGGTTGGAGGGGGCGAGGAAGCGAGCAGGGAATCTATGTCAAGCGTTGGTAGAACTATTGCTGCAAACGAACAAGTGCGGTGGCAGGCGAGGTTGAGGGACGGTGGGCGTACATGCGGGGTGCGCGCACGCGCCCAGGTTGTTGGCCTTCTTGACCCGATTGACCACACACCTGGATTCACACATATCACGCACACACACGCACACCGAAACACACAGAAACACAAACAAGGTAAGAGATTCGTTACTCACAGGGTGCGAATCACTGCAACGAGCATTCATGGCGTTTGCAAACGCTCATCGGATCCTAACACCAATTGGCTCCTGCTGCATTTCCGCTCGCACTAGCCCTGTATCCCCGCTTCCGCCTTCTCGTTCCGCCAACCTCTCCCCCCCCGGCCAGGTCCCCCCCCTACTCACAGGCTCTGGCGCCCGGTGCATGCGGAGCCCACCGGCTTCCCCGCAACGTCCACGCTGCATCGCGGCCCCGGCTCGCACTCGCACGACGCGCCGGCAGCGCCAGGGAGGCGCGAGCAGGTGCAGTTGGGGCAGGCGTAGTTGGCGGTGATGCTGGTGGTGCCCACGGCGTACGACACGGACTGATAGATGCAGTAGTCGTTGGCTGGTGGCGGAGATAGCGGGCGCGCGGGGAAACGGGAACGGGTATCTTTAACGGCCATTCAGCGCCGTGGATATGGCGGTGCGTTCCTATGGAATCTTGTTGCGGACGGCGTGGTGTCATAACGAGGAAGAGGTGTGAGTTTAGAAAGCAGGGGGTGAGTGCCACTTGTTGTAGAGGACTCTCCTCTACTTTGCAGGAACTGGGAGTTGTTCTAAACGATAGAGCTCTGTCTTAGCTTTCCAACGAGCCGTCAAACACGTCGATCGCCTAAGTATTCTCCGAGATATAGGCGTTCACGTGCTAGGTGGTGCTCTTGAATGCAAGTAAAGAAGCTCTCTGGAATTTGTGTTCGAATGTACCTTGTACAAAGAACTCTGAGTTTCACTATGATGGCATGCAATACAAAGAAAACAGATTTATAGCATGCAAACAAGATCGAATCGCACAAATAACCTCGAACCGCTACACTCGCGAATGTTCGAGTAACATCGAAAGGGTGAAATTCGACTCTCGAATTTCACCGATCCGAATTCTCCTTGGGTCTCGAATGTTCCTGGTGCTGCCATGTGGCACCGAATCGAATGGGTCTTCCGAAGTCAATCCTCAACCCCACGCAAACCTGCAACTCACTCGAAGGTGAGCACAAGTCACACATTCGGTGGGTTGGGGGCATACAAACGCCCCACCACCACCTTGCTTCCAACACACGTAATCTCCAACACTCCCCCTTGCACCCAACCCACTAGGTGTGCAAACCAACATGCTCATAGCATGCACGGGATGAATCTTTAGGGGGTGGTTCCATGAGAGATTTCGCGTGTTCATCATCACCCTTGGTTGCGAAGCAAAATGCCGCACCCTCCTTCCGTCTCCCCAACGGCTACCGTAGCGTAGTCGTTGTACTTGGAGGGAGGACGAACCTCACGACGCTCGCGGGTCAAGGCCAATGGTAGGGAGGAAGGTGTGGAGGTAGTTGCCGCCTCGGTTGGTGACACCTCCACGACATCATCAATGCTCTCCTCGTTGTTCGCTCCCCCTCCATCGGCTTCCTTCTCCACTTGAGGTGGAGTCTCACTCTCTTCAACCTCCTCTCGTGGCGGAAAGATGAAGGTGAGTTGTTGAGTGGGTTTCTCCTTCGACGGGAACTTGTCTTCATCGAAAACCACGTCCCGAGACGTGACGACGCACTTGTCGCCCAAGTCCCACACTCGCCACGCACGCTCGTTCGCCGCAATTCCCAAGTAGATCGCCGCACGAGCCTTCGGTTGCAACTTGTGGCGAAGGGGATCCGGTACATGGTAGTAGCAAAGGCACCCAAAGGTGCGAAGGCGGGATAGGTTCGGCTTCGTTCCGGTCCATGCTTCGAACGGAGTCATTCCCGGGAGCACCTTCGTCGGCAAACGGTTGCGAATCCACGCCGCTAGCGAACTCGCCTCGCCCCACCACTCTTTCCCAAGCTTGGAGTGTTGAAGAAGAGAACGAACGGCTTCCACCAGCGTGCGATTAAGCCGCTCCGCCGCTCCATTTTGTTGGGGTGTGTAGGGTGTTGTGACGTCGTGCTTAATGCCCTTGCACTTCATCCATTTCTCGAGCTCCGCATTCACGAATTCGCCACCACCATCGGTGCGAATACACTTGATCCGCTTCTTGTCATCGTCGCAAACTTCGAGCGCCCACTCTTGAATCGCCTTGACCGCATCTCCCTTAGCCTTCAAAAGTCGGGTCCAACACATCCGCGTCGCGTCGTCGAGCATCACTAAGAGGAACCGCGCTCCTCCCTTTGATGCATGCCGCATCGGTCCACACAGGTCCATGTGAACAAGTGCAAGCGGGTCCTTAGCGAGGGGTGACGTTCGGCTACCGAATGGCTTGCGAGCCATTTTTCCTTCGACACACGCCGCGCACACGCCCTTCTCGTCGTCGCCGGCGATCACGTCGACTCCCTTCGCAAGTCCTTTGTTGGCCAACTCCTTGACCGAGTCGTAGTTGGCGTGCGCAAGCCGATTATGCCACGCCTTGAGAGTCGCCTTGGAGCCTTGCGCCACGTTGGATGAAGCCGCTCTCGGGTACGTCTTGTCAAACATTATATGTTTATATTGTGTAGGCTATAGTGGGTTTAGCCTTAGGGGGTACAGCTTTGTTAGGGTTTCCTACTTGTATCCCCCTCCTACCTAGTTTCATGCATTTCTCGTTCTATTCTAGATTCAAACATGGTATCACGAGCCTAGGTTGCTACCTAGGACCGCTTTCTACTATGGGCCCACTATTCCGCTAGAAGCGCCCTCGTGCGCCCTACCTTACGTGCGCCCTCGTGCGCCTTTCTCTGCTAGTGCGCCTTCGTGCGCCCTCGTACGCCCTCGTGCGCCCTCGTGCGCCCTCGTGCGCCTTTCTCTGCTAGTGCGCCTTCGTGCGCCTTCGTGCGCCCTCGTGCGCGCTCGTGCACCTTCGTGCGCCCTCGTGCGCCCTCGTGCGCCTTCGTGCGCCCTCGTGCGCCCTCGTGCGCCCTCGTGCGCCCCCGTGCGCCCTCGAGCGCCCTCGTGCGCCCTCGAGCCGCCCCTGCAGGTCCGTCAGGCCCCCGAGCCGCCTCTGCAGACCCGTCAGGCCCCCCCCCGAGCCGCCTCTGCAGGCCCGTCAGGCCCGAGAGCCGCCCCTGCAGACTCGTCAGGCCCGCGCGCAGCCTCTGCCCGACCGCGCGCCGCCCCTGCAGGCTCTCGCCGCCCGCCGCGTCGCCCTGCCCGCGGCGTCGCCGCCTGCCCGCGGCGTCGTCACCTGCCCGCGACGTAGCCCCTGCCCGCGGCGTCGTCGCCTGCCCGCAGCGTCGTCGCCTGCCTGCGGCGTCGTCGCCTGCCCCCGACGTAGCCCCTGCCCGCGACGTCGTCGCCTACCCGCGGCGTCGTCGCCTGCCCGCGGCGTCGTCGCCTGCCCGCGGCGTCGTCACCTGCTCGCCGCGTCGCCCTGCCCGCGGCGTCGCCACCTGCTCGCGGCGTCGCCCTGCTCGCGGCTGTCAACATATATTTTATATGTGTTGTTTAGGTTAGTCTAGGTGTTACGTTTCTACTTACTTGCATGATTAGGGTTTGCTATATCTAGGGTTGTACTTCACATTTTCTATCAATTCATTCTTATCGTAACATGGTATAGAGCTAGGTTTCCCTTAGGCGATTTTTCCCCTAGGCGATTTTTTCCCTTAGGCGAAATTTCTCTCGATAGTCTATGGGCCCACCACCCGCGCGCCTCGTAGCGACCCATAGCCCGAAGCGCCCTGCCCCGTAGAGCCCGAGTAGGTCGCGCCCCCCCGTCGACATCGCGCGTCACCCGTTTCTGCCCTGCGCCCCACCCGTTTTTGCCGTGCGTCACTCGTTTTCTGCCCCGCGCCCCACTCGTTTTACCCCGCGCGTTTCCCCCCAGCCCTCTAGCGCGCAGCAGACGAACGCGCGTAGCTGCGCGCGCAGCCTTAGTCGCACCCGCAGCTTCGCGCTAGTACGTCGCGGCCGCGCGCACGTGCAGCCCACCGTCTTAACCGCCCCCCAGACCTGAAAACCCGCCATTACAGACCTGAAAACCGCCGCCGAACTTGGAAACCCGCCGCCCCAGACCTGAAAACCGCCGCCCCAGACCTGACAACCGCCGCCCCACCTGGAAACCTGCTGCCCCACCCGTTCCAGGCACCTCACCCGGGATCAGCCGCCCCACCCAGTCCTCTCCACCGCATTGAACCGCACAGAACTGCACAAAACTGCACAGAACCGCACAGAACCGCCGCCTTAACAGCTTCCCCACCTGAAAACCACCGCCCCAGACCTGACAACCGCCGCCCCACCTGGAAACCTGCTGCCCCACCCGTTCCAGGCACCTCACCCGAAACCAGCTGCCCCACCCAGTCCTCTCCACCGCATTGAACCTCACAGAACCGCACAGTACTGCACATAACCGCACAGAACTGCACAGAACCGCCGCCTCACCCGTAGCCCGCTGCCTTAACAGCTTCCCCACCTGAAACCTGCCTCCCCACGACCTACCACACCCGCCGTCAGTAGCCCCAGCCGATTACACTGCCGCCAGCTACACCAGCAGCAGCATAGGCTGCCCCCAGCGCACCAGCAGCAACGTAGGCTGCCCCCAGCAGAACCAGCAGAACCAGCAGAACCAGCAGAACCAGCAGAACCAGCAGAACCAGCAGAACCAGCAGAACTAGCAGAACCAGCAGAACCAGCAAAACCAGCAGAACCAGCAGAACCAGCAGAACCAGCAGAACCAGCAGAACCAGCAGAACCAGCAGAACCAGCAGAACCAGCAGCAGCATAGGCTGCCCCCAGCGAACCAGCAGCAGCATAGGCTGCCCCCAGCGCACCAGCAACAGCTTAGGCAACTGCCTGCGCACTAGCAGCAGCATTGGCTGCCCCCTGGAGAACCAGTAGCAGCCTAGGCTGCCTCTCAGCAGAACCAGAAGCAACACAGGCTGCCCCCAGCGCACCAGCAGCAGCTTAGGCTGCCCTCAGCAGAACCAGTAGCAGCATAGGCTCACATGGCATGTACTAGGGTTCTACAGCAGCAGGGCCAGCCGCAGCACTCCCGTCAGTTGGGGCCTGCGGGTCCAAAGTGTGGCGCCCCCAGCAGTGGCTCAGCTAGCAGTGGGCGAGACGTCGGCCCCTGCGGGTACCGGGCCCTGACAGGCCCTGGTGCTGGCACTACCTGCTGGAGTCCTGACCACACTGCGTCCAGCTGCTACCGTCGACTCGACGACCTCCACCGTGAGCGTTTTGGTCCTCACGCTATTACACCGCACTGGCCTTCGCGCCTTCGCCAGCGCACTACTGCACCAGTTGAGTCTCACCTGCCTGGTCTAGGACCCTTTCCGGCTGCACGAGTAGAGACCTGTGTTTCCAGTCTTGGTGCGTGTGTTGTTTCCAGTCCCGGCGCCTCTGAGGGTCTTTGTGTAGAAGCTGCAGCTACCACTAGTCTAGCACTAGCCTTTGTAGCTGGTTCGGGTGCGACCCCACAGACTGCACAGCTTTCCTTCACCCTAGATTCTGGAGCGTCCAGCTGTTTCTTTCGCGA